TGGGGGACGCCACTAGTGACTGGCCTCCAACTGGACTTGGCTCCATTCACCACAACTCTTTGGGCCCGGCTATCCAGCCAGTTTCTAACCCAACGAAGCGTGCGCCAGTCCAAGCCAAGAGCAGCCAGTTTCTTGAGGAGAATGCTGTGGGAGACGGTGTCAAAAGCCTTGCTGAAGTCAAGGTAGACCACATCCACAGCCTTTCCCTCGTCCACCCAGCGCGTCCACCCAATGCAAAGGTGGATTTCTATCAGAGGAGTGAGTAATGTTTGAGGAATTGTAGCAAGAATTAAATAAACAAATAAAACACCAGAATGATTTTACAGTAAACTGCAGTCACTGAAAGAAAGGAATGCCATAGGAAGGATCCATTGACCTTGCATCTTGTTTCTGGGTCTTCAGTCCAAAGCCAAAACAGGTTAACACAGATGAATTTTTATAATCCATATATCAGTAAACAGGAGGCTGGAGTATACAAGGTAAGCAGTAACTGAAAGTAAAGACTAGATGCAGTGACTGAGAAACAGTCCTGAACTGTATAAGGCATATAAGGAAGACCACAAATGCCATATTTACCCTGACCACCGTAAAAAAAAATTTCCTCTTGAAAATTAAAATTCACAATTTTCATAATTGATTAAGAAATCCCAGGCAGACAGAGAGAGAGAGAGATGCAAGGAGTCAGCTGTGATTTAAAAGAAATAATTCCACATAAAAGGAATAAAAGAGATTTAAAATAAAACAAGTTTTGATTAATTAAATTGGCATGATAAAATAAAAAATCATTGTTTCATATGATTCATATGTATACTAGAACTTAAGAAGAAAGAAAGAAAAATACTAACAAAGATATTTGTTCTCCCATCATGAAGCTACATATTGGGAAAGACAGCTTGCACATCAAGTGGGATATTGTGGAAAACATGCTGAGATTTTTCTTCTGCATGCACCAAAAGTCCAAGCTTGACATTGCATCACTGTGGTGGTTGCCAAACAGCTTTATTTAAGCAGTTTTTATAACGTTCTATGATGAGCTTTAAGTTTGCTTATTTGTTTTGTTTTGTTACCCTGTTAAAAACATACTTGATGACAATAGGAAATTTGCTCTGTTGTGTCAGGTATGATCCAAATATATCAGTAATGATAAACTTTGCCCTGCAGAATACAAAAGATAGATAAAGGGCAAAGGGGATAAGGTTATTGCAAACCTCTCCGTAATAAATCTTGGCCACTGTGAAACCTACCTCCGTATATATAACCATTCCCTATCTTGACATCCAGAAACAGGAATGCTAGTGAGTGAAATAGAAGCTTGTGCACAGTAAAGCAATCTTAAATATCAGACAGGTTTTCAAAACAGCTGTGCTAGGTTTACCAGATTGCATTATGGAAATGTTAGACACCAAAAAATCATGCATTGATGTGTAAATAAGGAAAAAATGGGGGTGGTAGGCTGGGAAAGAGAATTCCCTCTGGTATTCTTCCTGCCAGAAAACAAAATCAGACAGCTTCCACCCACTTGTCTCTCCTTATCTCCCCTACAGTTTCCAATGGCTTGCTCTGCAAGATTTTCCCAACTTCAACAAGCCATAAAACCTACTGAGCATTCTAAACTACTGCTAGATTAGCAAATTTTGACCCTTTGTCAATATTATCAGGTTGTGTGAACCAAAACAGTTTTAACTGATCTTTAAGCAGACATTTTATAACCATCGTTTTTCTTATTGCTGTGCAAAAAAGCTCTCAGTGTCACCATATGGTCTGAAGCAATATCTAGACTTACACTTTCTAGGCCAGTGAGATAAAGTGTAAAAATGAGAGGAGGAGCAAAGGAAGCTCTGTGCAAGGAGACTTCTCCAGATATGCCAGATGATTTGTTCCCTTTGTACATCAGAACTCCCTCAGGCCTGATCTGTACGTGCTTTTTGCTTTGCAGCAGTGTCTAAAAGCCTTGGTTCACAAACATCTAGCCATAACACTGTCAAAGGGTACATCTTAGACACAAAACCAGATGTTTTCTGATGCATTCAGGAGTAATTTTGTTATCTACAGGTTAAGCACCATAATTTTGAGAATTTTGGACAAAATTTGTCTTACAGCTAAACAACAATCCTTTAATGAGACAAAATAAAACTATTAACTTTTTAAAATAGTTAGAACTCAGAATTCTTGGATAAAGCACTATTCTGTGGCCAAAATTCTTCTGCAGACACATTTCAGATTCATCTGCTCACCCCTTCCAAGGAAAAGGAGGAACATATACCAAGAAAAGTAGACATTTCAGAACCCAGAGGGAAGAAACAAGAGCTCTGGCTCAGTTTCAACAGACTTCAAAGATGTCATGTTGTTTGTCATGCATGGGACTGCATTTGTAGGATGCACACAGCAAGCAAACCCCACACATGCAGGACTGGCATAGGTGATTCAGTGCATTGGAAACTGTCATGCAGGTAGCAAGTTGATAGCATTGCCTACGCTTATGCATGTGAATTAGATAATGCTAACATGAAGTTATTGTCACGAGTTTGCAGGATCAGGTCATGGGAATAACACGTGCTTTCTCATTTTGTACCAGGAGCTGTAACTTCACTGAAATACAAGTATCTCCAGTTGGCAAGCATACATCAAAATCACTCATAAGGAGGTGCTGGCAAGTGGCTTCACCATGTGTAAAATTGCATTGGCAAAATGAAATCTGGAAGGGAATAATTACGTGTCGGATTCTAGATTAGGCAGATAGTCTTCATATAATCTCTCTGCAACCTCCACACAATCTCCATGCAATTAACTGTTAGTGAGGTAGTGAACCTCCCAAAGGCAATCCATGATCCAATTTGGTTTAGGTGCTCTGAATAGCCCTCTGGGGGCTCCTCTCTTTCTCCGGTGGCCTAAGAGCTAACTCTTCATGTAATCCCTAGGGTTAGGCATCTAAAGTAGAATGTACCAATTCTCTCCATCTTATCAAATTTATGTCCCTGCTTTGATATGCTTATCAAACTATGTCCCTGTTTCTCCTACTGTTTAAAGAACATACTCTTAGTTCCAAAAGCAATTCCATAAACCTCGAGCTGATATAAACTTCTTCTCCTGACATAAACTGCTCCCTCAGGCAAAGCACAGGTCTGGTGAAGTCTGGTTGTTTCTGGGACTATCTTTTCCAAAGGGGAGAGGGAGGGATCTCTGAGTCAAAACCCATTAACTGAAATCACCTTGAAAAAGCAATACAGATTTAGAGACTGTCAGTTCAACCACTGAATTGGCATTTAAATGAAATACAAGGGGAAAAGAAATCTCAGCAACATACAGGTCAGGCATTTGCCTGGGACTTGAAGAAGTAGTAGGCATCTTTTCTGTGTGTACGAGCATAAATATTAATAGACTCTCAGAGGTTCTGCAGTGAGATTCATGGAGCTGACTTTGAGAAAACTGCAACTGAGACAAATAGATTGAAGGTGGACAGCAGGTTAAGTATAAAATTATTATTTGTGCACCTGTTCAAGAGCCATTTTAATTTTTGAGCCCCAAGAGAAAAAAAAGTGTCATTTTGAATGCACAAGAGTTTGTAAGATTTAATGATTCTATTATGGTTCCAAGTTCAATGTAACCATCCTTATGCTGTACGTCTTGAAATACTTAACAATTAGTAAAGATAAAAGAACCTATCACATGCCACGTGGTGTTAGGATCATGAAGTCAAGAAGGATAAGCTCATACACAACTTGTTACACAGATGTCCTTCCTCCACTTTCAATATACTCACTTTTCCTACTGTGTTGGCAAATGAAAACATGAAAAATTAGAAACAGGTGGAGCAGGCTCTAGACAAGCAACTTCAGCTCAAAGGGCAGATACCATTACAGTAGATGTGCTCCTAGCCTAATGGAAGAGATTTTAAAGAACACAGTAATTTGCAAGAAGAAATTAAGAGTCATGCAAACCTCCAAGAAAGAAGAGGTCTTCTGTTGCTCTTTTCAGTGAGGTTCCTTTATACGGCAAAAGCTAAAGAAACCAGAACAAAGCCATTTTTTAGATTAGCAGGGTATAATACATCCACAACAAAAATGCATTGACTTGGATGAGATTATAAAGAAGAAGAGAGAAAAAAAAAAAAAAAAAAAAAAAAAAAAGCTCCCAGAAAGTACACTAGGAAATGTAGGAAGGTGTGAAGAGGAAGGGTGAGGTGAGAAAGGAAATGCAAATAAGGAGATTTCACAAGCTAAAGTGGTGCTGGTTTAAAATACTACTTTTGTCTCAGAAGGAAAAAAAGATAAGATCACTGGTGATCTGTGGTCACAGAACACAGACGAGCTGTGGAGCTGATGGTTGTGCTTGCAGCTAATCTGAGGAAAAAAAAAAAAAAAAAAAAAACACACAGAGAAACTGATTTGACTTAGAACATAAACTCGTAGAGCGGCTTGGGTTGGAAGCAACCTTAAAGACTGTTGTGTTGCACCCACCCTCCACCCCCCACCGTGGGCAGGGTTGAAGTGCAAGTGCAGACTTGTTATTTGTTACCTAAAGAGACACAACCCCATTCTGCTACCCACTGCATAGCTTGGAATATGGGTAATTTAACAAAGTATAGTCAAGAAAGATAAAAGGCAAGGTGAAGCAACCTCGAAAGGATACATCCTACAAGGAAAATGGTCAGGATGATGTCTGGTAAATATCTTCTTGGTTCTACCTTTTTAGCTAGGTTTTGTAAGAGAAGAAGGCTTAAGTAAATTGTCTGTCTGTGTCTGAACACGTGCACCTGCCTGTTTCTCTGGCAGCCACCATTCCTTCCTAGGATTGTGGAATCTGGTGGCCGGTTTCAACCAAACCTGAGTGGGACAGTAGTGGCAGAGATACCAACGGGCTAATCCTCGAGAAGGGTGGTGGAAGATTCTATTGAGTGTCGGAAAAGAAGTGGAGGCTTGCTTGCAGCGTGAGACCAGCCCTCAAGCACCGTAGAAGCGCTGCGGGACACAACCCCGTGCCTCCTGCTCTCCACTGCTCACCTGGCCGCACTCTCGCTTCCTCCGGACGCCTCACTGGTGAGGACGCACCTGGGGACAGAGCGGGACGGTCCCACGCCTCCACCTGGACCTGGGAGCACCCAGCAGGGCGACAGGCGCCCGGAACAGACCCCACACTCGGCGGGAGGGCGGCGCAGGCTGCGGGCAGGGCCGCCCCCGCGGAAGAAGCGCGCCGCCCCCGCCGCCCCCCGCCGCCCCCCGCCGCCCGCAGGTGGCGCTGCCTGCAGCCGCGCTCAGCCCCGCCGCCGCCGCCGCCGCCGCCGCCGAGCCGGCCGGGCTAGCGCAGCCCCCCGGCGCCGGCCGCAGCCCCTGGGCCCTCCCGCGGCTTCCTCGGCGGGGCCGCGCTTCCCCCGCCTCCCCTCCCTCCTTTTTCCCTCCCTCTCTCCTTCCCTCCATCCCTCCCGCCGCGCTCCGCGCATCGCTGCCTCCCCCGTCCCCACGCCAGGCGGACACGGGGGCGCCGCCGCGGCCGTCCGGTGGCCCCCCGCTCCCGCGGCCAGCGGAGCCGAGCGGAGCCGAGCCGAGCCAAGCAGAGACGAGCCGAGCCGAGCCGAGCCGAGCCGAGCCGAGCCGGGAGCCGGCGGGTGCCCGTGGGTGCGGCGCGGGAGGTGGGCGAGCGGCGCGGGGAATGGAGGACCCCAAAAGCAGCCTGGGGGCCGTGTGACAGCCGGCGGCGCTCGCACACACGCACACGCTCGAAGCGGCCGGGAGCCGGACCCCGGTGCAGAGCCGGGCAGCAGCGCCCTGCCCCGTCCCGCGGGGAGCCAGCATGGAGTGAGAGCAGCGTGCCGCCACCAGGTAAGGCGGGCAGGGTTCCCCGAAGGGACTCGGAGGACGGGAGGGCTCGGGGGTGGCGTTTCGGTGCCCTGCGGCTCGTGTCCGACGCGTTCCTCCAGCCCCCCACACGCACCCCCCAAGTAACGCCCTTCCCCGAGCCCCCCGGCAGCCACGGCGGCGGTGCGGGGGGATGCGGGGCGCGTTACTTATGTAACCGGGGGGCGAGCGGTCTCAGCCGCTCCCCGCTGGGCAGACGGCGAGCTGGCGGGCGGGGAGCAGACAGGGAACACGGTATGGAGGGCGACGGGGGGCTGGCGGTCGGCCCCAGTGGCCCCGTTTCCAGCTGCCGTCGCGGGAGCCTCTCGAGAGGGAGCCCCGCGCCCTCGGGCAGAGCGGTGTCGCCGCGGACCCGGCCGGGGCTGCGCGGGGTTCCCCACGCTCCGGGGCTCGGCAGCCGGCACCCGCCGACAGCGTTGAGAGGGGGAGCCCCGTTCCTCCCAGTCGACCCTCCCCGGCGGCGCTCCGTCTGGGAAAAACTTCAAAGGGAAGGGTGTAGGGGGGCTGTTTTGGCTGCTCCCGTCCCACTCCTCCTCTGGGAGGCCAGCGGGGGGCGGCCCCGCTGGGGGGAGCCGGGGTCGCGCTGGGCTGAACCGGGCAGCGATGAGGGCAGCCGGGGCCGGGCTGAGGGGACCCGGAGAGGTGTGGAGGGGGCGGCGCGGCCCCGGCCCCGACGGACGGGTAGGAAGGGAAGGGTCTCCTGGAGGGGAAAGCAGCGGCGGGAGCAGAGGGGACGGGGGGGGTTTCGTGAAGGGGCTGCCCGTCTCCTCTTCGTCGGAGGGAGAGCGAGCTCTGTATCACCATGGCGACCTGAGGGAGGAAAGAGCTAAATAAATAAATAAGTAGGAGATAACTCCCCCCTTCCCCTCCCCCGGCCCCCGCCGCCGCTGCCTCCCCTTTCCTTCCAAGTCCCGTCGCAAAGAGGGGGGGCGGGGGGGAGAAGAGATATCGCAGACCAAACTTTCCGCTCGTGGTAAAAGCATTAAAGTGGCTGGGGGCCGCGGCTGGGAAGGGATCTCCGCACACAGCCGCGGGGATGCCGATGCCCGGCGTGGAGAAGGGGAGCCCCTTTCTCCGGCCGCGGCGGGAGGCAGGTTTCGCGGGAGGGAGAAGCTGCTTCCAGGCGAGCTCCACATCGCTGCTTATCCCAGCCTCCCCCTCTACTCCCCGGCCCCTGGGGATTTGCTTCCCCCGATTCAGCACCGCGAACAGCGGCGGGTTCAGCACCACGGCCGGCGGCTCTTCAGCACCATGGCCAGCAGCCGGGGCCGGTGGGGCTCCGGGAGGCAGCGGGGGCACCCCTGCAAGCATCCCCAAAGGAGAATCGGTTGCTTCTCTCAGCTGGGGACAGCCCTGAAAACCCCATGCTGCTCCCAGCAGGGTGTTGGGAACCGTAGGATGCCTCACCTAGGGCCGCTAAACTTTCCTGAGGCAAACATCTGCGGGAGCTGAGAGCACAAGTATTAACAAATGGCATGCTCGAAACGCACTTGCTCGAGCTTTCTTATGAAGAGAAACAACTTCTTGTGAGTCTTTTGTAGTGGTTCTCAGTAGCTTGTTATGGCTCCCCAGCAGGATCGTTCACACGCACAACGTCCATAAAATGAGCCCTGCAGAAATGGTGAAAAATATATGCTCTCGACTTGTTTTCCTGAGGAAAACTTGTTGAGAAATTGCACTTAAGGAAACTGCAATCTTAGCTTTGGGAGATACCCCATTGCTGGGGTGTACAATTGCATATATGAAGTTTGTGCCAATCAGACAGACATGTTCAACTAATTAGAAAATCACCTACTGATCAGGAACTGCTCTCAGATATTTGGGCACCTGTTTAAAGAAATACACAAAGGGGGAGGGAGGGAAGGATTCAGGCTGGTGACAAAAAAAAGGTATTTGTTACACTGATAAGTTGTGAATTATTGGCTCAGTGTTGCTATACATATCTCATACTAGTAGTTATGTATGCAATTACTGCTTCAGACTAGGAAAAATATTCTAGAAAAGCAAACAGCATAATGAATAATATTCACTAGGGAAGATAGAGATGGATTAGTCACTTTTGTGTTCACTGTGTCAGGATGTTCTTTTTTCATTAAACAAACAAGATTTATTTAACCTTACCCTGGTCCTGATGGGCAGTAAACTATAGATACATGCAGAATTATTGGGTTTGAGTCTAAATTCCCAGACAATTGAAATTATTCTTCAACTATAATCAAATTTTCAACTCACACTTGCTTCTAGATTCCTTCTTTGCTATAAATTATCCATTTCAAATAAGTCCAGAGACAATCATATAGGTGATTCCAATCCGTGCATGGGTGGTAGTCAGGATCTCTACTCATGCAGGGACCCCAAGTAAATTTATCTCTAAGAATTGTCGTTGAAGTGAAGTCTTTTAGTAAAGAACTGTAGATCCACATTTTGCCCAAACTACACTTCAGGACTAGTCAAGTGAACTAACAAGTTAAGCCTTTATGGAAATAGAGACCTGAATTTCTTCATGGCCCAACATTTTCAGGCTTATCTCATTAGGAGTGTAGAAATTAAGGACTAAACTGTAAGTATGGGCTTCGTAACTCATTACTTTCCTGTGGGAAAATGGGAAGAAGTAATAGATTACAAATCTTCAGGGCAGTTACTAGCTCATTTATTATACTTGAAGATATTGATTTTATTATGTAAGACAATACTCCTGCAGTGTCAGAATAATTTTATCAGATAATTACAAAATGATTTTACCTTGTAAGCAATAGAACTATACGTATATATACATATATATACATGAACATCAATGAAAATCCCACAACCACAACCTCAATCATTTTAGTAAATGACAGAATTCTTTATAGAATTTTTGCCAGTGCATTTACACAGAATTTAATACAAGCTTCCCAAGATGCATTATTTTACTGCAGAAAACATTTTTTTCACAAGCATCTATCTGTAAACTTGTTTTATATTCATTCAAATTATGAAAGAGAAATATGATTTAATTTTCATAAAAAATCCAACAAAATGAATTTATTCAAATATTTCATAGATGTTAGTCCTGTGCTGTTCTTTCTTTCACCTATAAATACCAAGAACTCTGGACAATGTTGAAGTAAGCTTACTGGTTTTGTCATGATATCCTTCTGTTTTTGTTGGTTTTTTTGTTTGTTTGGTTTGGTTTGGTTTGCTTTGCTTTGCTTTGGTTTGCTTTGCTTTTTTCTTTCAAGAATGTATTTATGTGGTTCTACAAAAGTAAGAAGTAAAGGAATACATATAATTCAGATAAATTAAGCTGTGTCTTCAATAGTAGTGGTTTATGCCTTGTAGAGTACATGTATGTTCATGTTTTTTTCTTTTTTATTTTCACTGTTATTAAAAGTATGAGAGCTCTGATCAGTGTTTTTATCATCTGCTTGCTACAAAATGTTGCTTTTAACTGGGAAAATTAAACACTGATAGTTTTAAAAGAGAGAAATGGTGTTTATTACATTTATATAGATACATGATTTTTAGTGGTGGAGGCAGTTTGATTTGAGAACACAATATTCCTAATATATAATGCATCAATATTTAATAATGATTATGCAGAAACCAACCAACACTTTCTAAACAATGAATGCTAAATTTACTGGCTGGTAGACCCAAGGAAAGAGTTCTTATCTCATTCCTGCTTGGCAGAGATTTCCTGGAAGATGGTTGTGTATATTTTTTTTAAACTGTGTGTCAGATGTATTACTAGAATGCTACTGGTATTTGAAATACAGTTATATTACCTGTGTTATGAATAGCTGAAATTAAAGACTTGAAAATAAGAGGTTACTAAGTCCACTTTTTCATACAACAATACAATTTTTAATTATGTGCAAAGATGATGACTGTCATGAAACCTGGAAGCTTTCAGATCTGAAAAGATTTCAGCTTTTCAGATTCAGCTAAATGAACTGAGTAATGAACATGAGTAAAATACTCATGACAGTATTGTGGATTGTGTGTCAAAAGGACAGCCCACCCCAATTCAGCATGCTGAAAAATTGAATGGTAGCCGTCCTGTCCATGCACGGGCTGGAGGAGGAAAAAACACAGAAGTCATGTGCAGAGATTGACATTTTTTAGTCATTATATGCTTTGGTATGGCAACTGCAAAGGTACTGTGCTTCAGGTATGAATTATAAGGAGGCTCAAAGCACCATCCTTATTTAACTTATCACCCATTGTACTTCTAGTAGGATATCATGCAGGGCCAAGAGAATTTCACAACTAAGGAAATATATCTTATTTACAGCTTAAAGGAACATTAAAATGCATTTTCACTAGCTAGTGACAATGCACTTTATTGTCAAGCTTATACATATGGCCAGCAGAACATCCTGCCTTCTGATACAGGGGAAAAAAAATTTAAGTTCTTAAATGATGTGCAATTTCTACCAGCAGGTCAGGTGAATGGATCCTCATGGCCATTCAATGACCAGTAAAATCAGTGAAGATCTCTGTAAATGGAGGGACTGTATACAGTCTTGACTGCAGAAGCTCCAGTTAATGGCAGAGGTTGCAGAACAGTCTCTAACATAAACAAGAACTTTTTTTCTGGAGTATTAGTTAATAGAGTTTTGTAATAAAAAAAAAAAAATCACCTGAAAGGTGATTGACTCATTGATTCACTGTTTCTATTTGTCCGTTACAGCTTCAGGTCAACCATTAATGGTATCTGCATATGAAGTACAACATGATATTACCAGTATAAGCATCCACAAGAACAGGAATATTACCATTACCGTACCTCTAACTGACAATAAGATAAGAAAAGGCATTGTTTTATTACAATAGTATCTATTACCTTAATATTAGTAAAAAAAAAATTTAAAAAAAATAAAAATCTTTCAGTCTTGTCTATACCTCAAAATGAACATAAGAATTTGGATGGAAGTACATATTTATAACAGACAATTCTTCACTTTGAATATTATTTACTT